GATCCGACCCCACAGCACCACAAACCTTTCCCAGGGATTTATTCCCACAGTCTGGCTTTTCCCAAAAATCTCTGGACATCAGTTGGGTGATGTTCTGACCCTCCCCAACATCTCCGTGGATGTCCAGGGCAATCCCCAGAAAACACACCCAAAATCCCAAAATAGCACCTCTGGGATAATCAGCATCGGGATCCGACCCCACAGTACCACAAACCTTCCCTAGGATTTATTCCCACAGCCTGGCTTTTCCCAAAAATCTCTGGACATCAGTTGGGTGATGTTCTGACCCTCCACAACATCTCCGTGGATGTCCAGAGCAATCCCCAGAAAACACACCCAAAATCCCAAAATGTCACCTCTGGGATAATCAGGATCATGATCTGACCCCACAGCACCACAAACCTTCCCCACGGATTTATTCCTAAAGCCTGGCTTTTCCCAAAAATCTCTGGGAGCCAATTTTCTATCCCTCCCCAACATCTCCAAGGATATCCAGGGCAATCCCCAGAAAACACACCCAAAATCCCAAAATAGCACCTCTGGGATAATCAGGATCGGGATCCGACCCCACAGCACCACAAACCTTCTCCAAGCATTTATTCCCACAGCCTGGCTTTTCCCAAAAATCTCTGGACATCAGTTGGGTGATGTTCTGACCCTCCACAACATCTCCATGGATGTCCAGAGCAATCCCCAGAAAACACACCCAAAATCCCAAAATAGCACCTCTGGGATAATCAGGATCATGATCTGACCCCACAGCATCACAAACCTTCCCCAGGGATTTATTCCCACAGCCTGGCTTTTCCCAAAAACCTCTGGGAGACAATTTTCAACCTCTCCACAACATCTCCGTGGATGTCCAGGGCAATCCCCAGAAAATACACCCAAAATCCCAAAATATCACCTCTGGGATAATCAGGATCGGGATCCGACCCCACAGCACCACAAACCTTCCCCACAGATTTATTCCTAAAGCCTGGCTTTTCCCAAAAATCTCTGGGAGCCAATTTTCTATCCCTCCCCAACATCTCCAAGGATGTCCAGGGCAATCCTCAGAAAATACACCCAAAATCCCAAAATGTCACCTCTGGGATAATCAGGATCGGGATCCGACCCCACAGCACCACAAACCTTCCCCAGGATTTATTCCCACAATCTGGCTTTTCCCAAAAATCTCTGGGATCCAACTTTCTACCCCTCCCCAACATCTCCATGGATATCCAGGGTAATCCCCAGAAAACACACCCAAATCCCAAAATGTCACCTCTGGGATAATCAGGATCGGGATCTGACCCCACAAACCTTCTCCAAGGATTTATTCCCACAGCCTGGCTTTTCCCAAAAAAACCCTGAGCACCCACTGGCTGATGTTCTGACCCTCCACATCTCCAGAGCAATCCAAGGAATTTTGCCCCGCCCAGGAGATGAAGTTTTCCTGCTCTTCCCGCTCCATCAGAATTGCTGAGGGGTTGTGACATGAAATCATGGAATTGTTAAAGTTGGAAAAGACCTCTGAGATCCCGGGAGTCCATCGACATCCCAGGGAAGGCAAAATATCCCAGAGACGATTCCCGAGCCTCTCCAGGCTCAATCCCAGAGATTTCAGGGAATTCACCCGAAGGGACGAGTGAGATTTTTGTTTTTTTAAGGAGAACGCCCCGTTTTTAAGGAAAAAAAAAACCCTGTTTGGAAGTGAAGCTGCTCGGAAAAGGCTCCACTTTCCCTTCATGGATGGATCCGAGGGATGAGGGATCAGTGATGCTCCAGTGGGGAATAAATCCCTGTGCTCTGCTCCTTCCACGCCTCCCAGCTCCCCCTCAAATCCCTGGAAAGACCATCCTGATCTTCCAACATCCCCTGGATGCGTTATCCCATATGGAAAAACCTGCCTGGACAACCTCAATCCTGGACATACCAAAAAATTCCAGCTGTTCCTCCTGCTCTCTCCAATCCTAAACCCATCCCAGTTTGGGGCTGGGATCATTCCCAGCTCCATCTCAACTCCCTGGAAAGCTCATCCTGATCCTCCAACATCCCCTGGATGCGTTATCCCACATGGAAAAACCCACCTGGACAACCTCAATCCTGGAGATACCAAAAAATTCCGGCTGCTCCTCCGGCTCTCTCCAACCCTTGACCCCATCCCAGCTTGGAATTGCACATTCCCAGTTCCATCTCAAATCCCTGGAAAACCCATCCCGATCCTCCAACACCCTCTGGGAATGTTATCCCACATGGAAAACCTGCCTGGACAACCTCAATCCTGGACATACCAAAAATTCTGGCTGCTCCTCCCACTCCCTCCAATCCTAAACCCATCCCAGCTCGGGGCTGCCCATTCCCACCTCCATCTCAACTCCCTGGAAAGCTGATCCTGATCCTCCAACACCCCCCGGATGCGTTATCCCACCCGGAAAAACCCGCCTGGACAACCTCAATCCTGGAGACACCAAAAAATTCCGGCTGCTCCTCCGGCTCTGTCCAACCCTCAACCCATCCCAGCTTGGAATTGCACATTCCCAGCTCCATCTCAACTCCCTGGAAAGCTGATCCTGATCCTCCAACACCCCCCAGATGCGTTATCCCATATGGAAAAACCTGCCTGGACAACCTCAATCCCAGAGATACCAAAAAATTCCAGCTGTTCCTCCGGCTCTCTCCAATCCTAAACCCATCCCAGCTTGGGGCTGGGATCATTCCCAGCTCCATCTCAACTCCCTGGAAAGCTCATCCTGATCCTCCAACATCCCCTGAGTGCGTTATCCCACATGGAAAAACCCACCTGGACAACCTCAATCCCGGAGATACCAAAAAATTCCAGCTGTTCCTCCCGCTCCCTCCAATCCTAAACCCATCCCAGCTTGGGGCTGGGATCATTCCCAGCTCCATCTCAACTCCCTGGAAAGCTCATCCTGATCCTCCAACATCCCCTGAGTGCGTTATCCCACCTGGAAAAACCCACCTGGACAACCTCAATCCCGGAGATACCAAAAAATTCCAGCTGTTCCTCCCGCTCCCTCCAATCCTAAACCCATCCCAGCTTGGGGCTGGGATCATTCCCAGCT